TCTATCTATCTATCTATCTATCTATCTATCTATCTATCTATCTATCTATCTATCTATCTATCTATCTATCTATCTATCTATCTATCTATCTATTTAACGACTCCGTAGCGTGTCCATTTCCTGATTATTCTCCGTGGCGTTTCCTTTTTTCCTACTTGTCTTTTGCACACCAATAGTTTTTCCACGTTCAGCGCACTCTTGCGCTCCTGCATTCAAGTTGCACACGGAAAAATTAATTGTTCAAAATTTTATCATTCTAGGCCTAATCATTTTTTGTTGCTTTTGCTTGAATATTCTATAACTTCAATTCTCTCTCCGCAACCTGTTTTGAGGTGTATTAAAAGTTTGTCCATTGTAGTGTCATGACAAAAAATATCGATTCCGTTACCTTTTTAAACTTTTCATTTTAAATTATAGCAAGCTGGCAAGCTGGATTATGTGGTATAGCGGTTTAGCGCTTAGGGGTCGCACACAGAAAACGTGAGTTTGATTCCCATGAGGGAAAATTTTCAGCAAGTAGGCTATCTTGATCTTTCTCCTGGGACGTTACATTCCTCTCAGCTCAGATTGGCCCCAACTGGCAGAATCAAAGCTGGCATCCTTGATTCCTAACAAGATAGTTTACTCAGGCAAAAAAGTGTCCGCGGAAGTTCGAACATTGCTTCAGATGGAGCTGCAGTCTTTGCTGTGAAGCTCTCTTTCGTTTCTCCAGAAGAAGAATAGGAATAGCACAGTTTTGTTAGTTTCACTTTTATTGTTTTTCACAAAAGTAGGGAAACTGACTAACTCTGATCGCAAAAGTCCCCACTTTTACGAAGATGGCGCCACCGAACTTTGAGGACACTTTTTTAATTGGCTCAAAGAGAGGACTGAACTATCTTGTTATGTACGATCTTTGTCCTTGTTCTACTACCGTAAATTTGTCATCCCTAAGGTCGCCTCTCACAGAGGACAACAAATTTCCCTCACTCTTCTTGGCTCTGGGCTTTCCTCAGTGTGTCCCCCAGCTCCATGGCTGTCAATTCTCGTATTTTTTTCCTCCCATCTCTTCCTCTGGCATCCTAAATGATCTAAATGGTGTCAATGGGGGCGTAAATGTACATTTAAAAAATAGTGGCAAGACAAAGCTCGTTCAAGTATTAGTTCGCAAAGGAGGAGGAAGGGAGCTGGAACATTCAGAATGGATACCTTGCGGGCTTTGGAGCTGGGAGGAACTGCAGAGCATCTATGGACCTGTCCGGTGTGCAATGACGTTGTTGCCCAGGACAGGTAATACAGGTAATACAGGAGGAAGGGAGAAAGAATTGACGGATCATGGGGGGGGGGGGGTGTTATTATTATTATTATAGCGAGCCAGTAACAAAACCCACCCAAAATGCACCTCAAGGGAACGCGCAAAGAAAGGTGCGCAAAGTAGGAATAGGACGCGCTACTGAGTGAAATAGACACCCTGCGGAGTCCGGACACTTCGTGGAGTTTTACCTAATATATTCCTGGTCTAAGGTAATACTAGGCTTTGTCTCAAAATTATGATTTCAAGCAGAAAAAAACTATTCTAATTTCATAAGGTACAAAGCCTGGACATTGGTGCAAAAGCAAATATTAAGCTTGCAAGGCTTCGGTAAAAAATGTCTCAATGAGGACCTGCTCCCTGGTTCAATCGTAATCCCTTAAGCTGGGGTGGAGAAGAAAGAAATAGTCACAGCAAGGCCCTGCACGTCAAGCGTCGTGTGTGTTTATCCCATTTGGCCACATACCCGTTCGCAAGGTTTACTCGGGCATTGGGTGATCGAAGCACAATTGCAGAGAGAGCCCAGTGATCTGGAAAAAAAGAGTGTAACTTTTGAGTTTGAAAACACGGATCTTTTAAAACAAGGTGCGATTTGTATTTTAGTATAGCTTGAAATCGCTCAAATTTATTGTACTATGAATTTTAGTTTACTTGGGGGTGTTAAATCTTCTCAACAGTGGTATAAAAAAACGCACTAATTCATTCAAATACACACGCACAAAATACGTACGCACGCACCC